GCCCACATCATCATTGCATCATGCAATGGTCATTAGCCTTTTTTTTCTATCAGTTTTATTAATCGACTATGAAGCATAGTCGATTAAGGAAAATCGATTACGAAACATAGTCGATTAAGTAAAAACTTTTGAAAGTTTTTTTTTTCTTTTTTGTTTTTAATTTTTTTTCTCTATCAGATATATTAATCTCTTGTGAAGCATAATCGATTAAGAATCTGACTACTAAAAATAACGAATCACAACTAAAAAAAAGACAAAATCAACTATATTTTAATCAAAGGCAAAAGAGTTTATTATTTGAACTCACTTATAAATAAATACCCATTGATAGACTTATTTGTAAAGTGCCCAATTATTATTGGCCTTAATTTATGAGTGGATCAACAAATAACCAAATGCATACCAAAATTATAAAATTGTTTAAAAATAGGGTCCATTTGATATAGACCCCTAGAATGAAAAATATATACGGATAGGTCCACCCCTAAAATTCTTCCTTTGAGATACCCCCTAGAGAGACAAAAGTACTATTGTGCCCTTAATTGCAATTTTCGGCTGATTGCATTCAGTATTTTCGCCCCTGCATTCAACATATGCCCAACCGCATTTAGCATTTTTGGGCCTGCATTTATCATTTTTATTTATTAATTTAATAAAAAATAAAAATGTTTATTTTTTATATATACCATCTTTTGTTTTTTATTTTTATTTTTTTTATTTCTTTTATTTTTTAATTTTTTAGTTATTTTTTAATTTTTTAATTTTTTGATTTTTTTAATTTTTTTTTAAATTTTTTTTGTAAGATTTGTTTTTGAAAAGTTTACTGTACTGGAATTGACTACACATGACTATAGTATACTACACGTAACTATAGTATACCACAGTCATGTATAGTTATATGTATTTATGTACTTACTATCTTTTTACCCCAAAATTATCTACACCAACAACAAAATTCACAATTTAAATCTTGGTATTATAAATCAACTAACCAAAAAAAAAATGAAAAAACACAATCACATGTATATTATCTTCAAACATGAACACGCATTACTATACATTAAAAAACACATAGCATATATATAACTATATGTTACTACACGTGACTATAGTTATCTACAATTATTGATAGTTATCTATATTAACATAAAGTCTAGACTACTGCAGTATGAATCCAACTTCACAAGGCACTTCGGCACATCTTATTCTCTGCATCTCATAAAATTATACAAATAGCAAAACCCGCGACAAAAAAATACGAGTTAAAGAGCAAAATGGAACATGCAAATTATATGACATGAAAAAATACAAAAAAACAATGATTTTTTTGTTTTTTTTCCGATAAATATACCGTATTGAAATCGACTACAAATGACTATAGTATATTACAAATTGTATAGTCATGTATAGTTTATATGTAGCCATGACTGTATATGACTGCATATGACTACATATAACTGTATATTCACCTGAAACACTAAGTAACCACTACTGATTAAGTTTCTATTACAGACAAACAAAGCTCTTACACTTAAGGTATTTCGGGTCATCTTCAAATAAATACAAAAAAATAAATTACATTTGAATTATAACAAAAATGAACAAGATAAGAATCAAACAAAATAAAAAATCAAATTAATGCAACAAAAAAGATATTAATATTAATTGTTCACAGATCTTGAAAAACATAGTAGATCTGTGTTTTTTTTTATAAGAAATAATAGATCTGGTTCGACCCATCCCTAAAAAAGAGAGAAGAAACTAAAACAATAACGTAGAAACCATTTCTTCAAACGGAAGTAGAAAAAGATCTAAAACGAATTTAAAACAAACAAACCCTCATCCATCATGTTTTTGGCATCACCGAGTATATTCGATTTGGACGGGTGATTCAAGGCGGCGATTGCATCGAGCACGCGTAAAGTGGCGGCGGCGCAAGGTTGTGGAGGAGCAGGGGCGGCGACGCAAGGCTGTGGGAGAGCAACGTCGGTGGCGCAAGGAGGTGGGGGAAGCAACGACGATGGGCGACGCAAGGCGGTAGGGAGCCGAGGTGGCCGCGGAGAGCTGTGTGCCGAAGAAAGAGAGTGAGTTAGAGAGAGAAAGAAGAAAGAGAGAGAGAGAGAGAGAGAGAGAGAGAGAGAGAGAGAGAGAGAGAGAGAGAGAGAGAGAGAGAGAGAGAGAGAGAGAGAGAGAGAGAGAGAGAGAGTTAGAGAGAGAAAGAAGAAAAAGAGGGAGAAAGAGTGAGAATAACGGCTGAGAGAGTTTGTGGAAAAAGAAAATATGGGTTAGGGTTTGAATTGTAACTAAAAGAGTAAAACAGGTATTTCAACTTGTCTAGGGGGGGCTGTCAAATTAAGATTAGAATTTGAGTTTTTGACTAGGAAAGAAAAATCCATAGGACCTATCCATATATATTTTCAAAATTAGTGAGTATCCCACATTTCCCCTTAAAAATAACATGATGTGCGAAAACTTGATAGTTTGTTCGCTAAAATTGGTACTCTAGCCTTTGATTTTCATTGTTGGACGGCAAACTTTTGTCTTTTGCCGATCGATCCTAATATTCCGACTAAGCCACTTTTAGGCTATTAGGATTTAGGACATTTCCAGTCGCGTAAGCAAACTCCATTTGGCTGCACAATATGGAGACTGTGGTAGAAAATCCAATACCAACAAGAAATATAGAGGGCCTCGATGCAAATCTCCAGACTTGTTCCTACATATAGGTCTTTGTTTGGAGACTCATATTTTATGAGACCCAACTTCAAACAAGACTCAATTTCTTGCATTTAGATTTCGATTTTGTTTTCAAATAAAAATTAATATTTGAACGATTTGCAAATTTGATCGTTGGTTATCAACAGTAAGAAAAAAGAAAAGAAAAAAAGCATAAATACCTTTAATTAATTGTTCTTCATCATTTTCACCACTTCTAAATTTTCAGATTGTGAGTTTTATTTTCTTTTTCTTTTCTCTCCAATGCTTGTAGAATTTTAGGGGAATTTGATTGAATTTATGGTTCTGTGAATGAGAATTGAAGAAATTAGAAGTAGAGGGTTGAGTTGGCTGTCAATACTTGAAGAAACTTGTAATATAATTTTTTTCCTCTCTGTTTCTAGCGTGTTGAAGAATAGGGAGAAAAAGGAAATTGAGGGAGGAGGGGCGTGCTATATTGTACTGAATTAGGTTTAAATGAGAGTAAAAAATAAAAAAACCGTTTGGGGTGAAAGGCGGTGGAAATTAGTGGTGGTTACAAATACTTTAATTAAAATCATATTCAATGGTTGTAGTTCAACATTTCATATCCTTTTCAGAATTTTTTAATTTTTTGGATCGAAATATGTATTAAAAATAATTAAGACTATTAAAAAAAAAATTATCTACAACCTCGTATATGCATGAAATTTGAGCCCTAATAAACTACTATATAAAATAATCCGTAATATGATTTAGAGACTCAAAATTATAAAGCCTTCTATTGTGGAGTTTTGTTTTTTAGAAACTCTAATTCTATCGGGTCTCCATTTTGGTCTCCATTTTGGTCTCCAAAAGAGAATTTGTTTTACAGTTGAACTTCGATATGGAGATCCGATTTGCTTACTTCATTAGAAATAAAACTTTATTTTACAGTAGGACTTCGATAAATTAATAACGTCGCTTAAATAATAGTTTTTTCTCATCCCCATTAAGTAAAAACATAATAAAATTTTAGTTCGATAGTTTAATATTTCATTAAATTAATAGAATTTATTCAGTCATAACTATATTAATTTATAGATAACGGTATTTTTATTTTTGACGATGATATGGATGGGTTTTGGTCCCTCTTGGAATTTAAAGAGAAAAATACAGTTTTCGTCCTTCAAATTTGCACCGATTTCAGATTCGGTACCCCATATTCACAAAAAACACATTTGTCCCTTTAAAAAAATTCAACATTTTTATTCATTTCCGTCAATTTTCCGTAAAAACTAACGAATCGGGATGAAACATATTCCATAACTTTCTTAACCAACGGACTAACGGTAAATTGACGGAAATGACCAAAAGTGTTAAATTATTAGAACATGAGGGACCAAATGTATATTTTTTTTGAGTGAAATTGATGCAAACTTGATAGACGAAAACTATAATTTTCCCGGATTTAAAAAAAAAGAAAAAAGAAAAACAATAATAACTTTAAGGCTGCGGTTATATGCAATACTCATTCCACTTGTGCAAGACCAAATTAAAGAAAGATTCCAAAAGATTCTATTTTATTAAGATGGAATGACAAGTATGCCCATAAATTAAATTGACTTTTTTTTTTCTCATGTAAGACCAAATACAAATAATGAGAAAAAAACAAAAATCGACACTAAGGTGTCGAAAAATTATGCTACAAATCGACACTTAACCGTCGAATTTCATAGGTAAAAATCGACATTGACATGTCGAATTTATAGCACAAATTCAAATGTCGAATTTTATACCTCAAAATCGACATCTAAATGTCGATTTTTACCTGTAAAATTCGACCTGTACATGTCGAATTCGTTTGCGCGGGATTTTTTTTGGAAAATCAATATTCTAGCTAAAAAAACCCATAAATGCATACATTCTTGGGTTCCTCCATCGTAAAATCTTCTATTGTGATGTCTTCTGACTCCATACTTGCCATCTTTGTAAGATTTGTTGAGTTTTGATGATTTTGAATTTCTAGGTTTTGTGGGTTAATGGAGGAGGAAGTAGAAAGGTCTTGTGGATTTTGGAAGATGGAGAAGATGAGAGTTGGTCTTGTGGTTTTGTAGTCTTGTGATAGGATTTTTTGTGTTTTTGAATTTTTGGTCTTGCATATTTGGAATTTTTTATTTTTTTAATAAATAAGGGTATTATAGTATTTATACATTAAAAATTTTAATTTGGTCTTGCACAAGTGGAATTAGTCTTGCATATAACCGCAACCTAGCTTTATAATAGAGTTTTAGAATGTTGCTCAAAACGATTAAGTTTTTTTGCGATGTCTGGAAAATAGCAATTCATTTGTCGAACAAGGTCGGAGATGAGGCAGCCGGAGATGAGGCTGACCGGCGGCGCAGTGCTGAAAACTGCCTATTGGACGCCGCCAGAACGGTGGCCCAGCCCTTGCCCTATTGGCGTACTAATTTTTTGTTTTTTTTTTGGTTTCTTCTCTGCGGGGGAGATGGGAAAGAAAAATAAAAAGCGAAGAAGTGAAGAAAAAAGAGGGCAAAATGCTGCTTGATGTTTGTACATAGCTCTGCAACAGGTTGTACCTTTGGGCATTTCGAGCTCTTCTGCAATTTATCTCCCTAATTTGAAGTTCCATTGTTAGTTTTGATTTCTAGCTTGTTTTTTTTGCCCTATGTAGTGATGATTTTACTGCAATAGTTACTTGTTACATGATTGATACTCGAATATAACTACTTCCATCAACCGAAACCCCGATCGATTATTCGTTACGTGTCGTTAGTGCTTCGTCATCGAGAATTTATTGATGCGGATATTGCATACATTTTTCTACGTCGGAGGAGATTAGATTTCAATGTTTCACCTTAATTAGGTTAATAGTGAAATTTTGATAAATTTGATAGACTAATTATATCTCGGGATTAGGTTTTTACGTTTTCACCTTACGATTAGACTTCAGCATACTATATTGGAACTCATAGTGTATCGTACTGTTAGTTTTAATCGAAATTTGAATGGACTAAGGGATAGTTTAAATGAAGTATATTCCCGATTTTCATGCAAGGAGCATGATGTTAATTAATGATTAATTAAAGCCATGTTGGAGATAATGTATACGTATTGTTCGTTATAGGAAAGTCGAATGAGATATTTATCTAACTACGTTTATTTTTCTTAATGAATAGTAGAAAAAAGAAAGAAAATAACTTCGTTCACAAGGTTCGTAAATGTCTATTAATAGATGTTTTCAAGAACTAACTCGTGTTTTTTCCTTAGATAGTGATAATTTTACTGCAATAATTACTCGTTACGTGATTGATATTCGAATAAAACTACTTCCATCAGCTGAAACCCCGATCGATTATTCGTTGCTTGCCGAAGTGCTTCGCGATTGGGAATATGTTTATTGATACATTTTTCTTTGTGGGATGTGATTAGATTTCAATGTTTCACCGTAAATTAGTAATTAAATTTTGCTAAATGATATAGGTATTATTTGTGCAGGGTATATGCAAGAATCAGAGAATATATGCTACTCTTTGTGACCTTGCATGAAACGAAGGGCTTGATCGTCGGAGGTTCAGACAACTCGACTGGTATAAAGTCGTCAAAAAATATGGCTCAAATTCATTTTTTTCATAATTTTAGTTACTAACTTGCAATTATTGAAGGTATGATAGCATAAGATCTTGTTATTATCTTTTACACCTCGGAATAGATATTCCGAGGTAAAGTACTCCAGCATAATATGTTGGAACTAATAGTATATTTAATTGAAACTGAATGGACTGAGTTGTTATTTAATAGAAAGAAGGAAGTTCTTGTTCCCAATTTACGTGCATGGAGCATCGAGGAAATAAATGTATCAATTTAGATGGACCATGATGTTAAATGATTCATTTGTTGGTACTAAACCTTAACTTTTATTCAACCTTTTCATTTTAGGACGTCGAAGGCCATATATATATATATATATATATATATATATACAGGCATGTTTATTTTTTCTCGATGAACTAGTAGAAAAAGAAAGGAAATAACTTTGTTTACAAGGTGCGTAATGTCGACGAATAACCGATTAGCACTCTCAGCAATATGAAACTGAGGGAAAGTGAGGTCTTCTCTGTGATTATTAGTAGTGTATATAAATTGTTCGTTTTAGGAAACTGAGGTCTTCTCCGTAATATTGAATTCATGACAACGAATACGCGATATATGTATTTTTTCTTTTCGTGTTGATTAAGTTATCTGTCTTCAGTCTCGTTGCAGATAAGAACAATCAGAATCAAAAAATGACAGATTCTGAGTAAATGTTATTCAAACCATCAATTACTAAATTCATTAACAATCCATATAAGCTAATTGAATAAAAGGAAACTTTTGAATTACTGCTATACATTCATAATCATTATTTAATCATTAGAATCTGCATTTGATATTTCAAATAAAGACATAAATTATATTCTATGATGTATATATTTTCTATTCAGCAGGATTCTGTTGACCCTGAGATTCCGTCCACATTCAGTAGGGTATCTCGTATCTGAAATTATTTCGAATATCGTCATAGAATTCTTTTTTTGCTTGTTACCTCTCGTTTAGGTCAAGCTATATATTGAGTCCAAGACAACCATATTTTCATATAGCAGAATTATTTACACATACTGTGTTTTCCAGAGTATGTGTAAATATTGTTTTTTACTCATACTGTGTTTTACAGAGTTTTTCGACTTAGGTGAGTCCATTTTTTCGGTTTCTATATGAATTTGTTGTATATATATAATGAATAATAATAATTTTTTTTTGTGTGTTGTTAGGAATAAAAAAAGAGCTGTTGTGTTTGATACGAAGAGATGGATTTGTCTAACAGAAGAAATGGATCGGGCGATGAAGAAAACTACAACTCACGAGAGGGCAAGAAGCAATACCACCGTCACACTACCGAACAAATTCAGCAGCTCGAGGCGTACGATTAATTTCTGTCTAAATAATTTTATTCCATTTACATTTCGATTTTTCATAAACCTTCATTTGCATGGCTGAAAATTTCTCGGTACATTCGAAAGACGAGACACTTAAAATAGAATTTCTCTATATAAAATTTTTTCGTTTCCCGATTTATGATATTTACGCAGTTTCTATAACGAATGTCCGCACCCGGACAAGAACCAGAGGCAACAATTGAGCAGAGAACTCGGCCTTGACCAAAAGCAGATAAAGTTCTGGTTTCAAAATAAACGAACTCAGATGAAGGTGCTTTATTCTTACGCAATTGTTTTCTATGGTCGTTTTACGATGATTTATTTACTTGTTTGTATATTATGTTTTGTAGGCTCTAAACGAGAGAGCAGACAACAATTCCCTCCGCTCGGAGAACCAAAGAATTCATTTCGAGAACCTTTCGATGCACGAGGTTCTGAAAAACGCCTTTTGTCCCTCTTGCAATAATTCAGGTGTTTGTGAAGAAGAGAAACGCCAAAATCTGCAGAGATTGAGAATCGAAAATGCACGTCGGAAAGAAGAGGTGATCTGATCGATCGATATATTATCTACTAAATAATCGAGATCTTTACTTTTTGCACATGAAAAGTTTCGTCGTTTCTGTATTTAGCAAGTATAGCAACCACTTATGTCCGAGTTTATTTAATTGCACGAGTAAAAGCATATATTCAAGAAACCTGCAATCACTATGAGATGCATATTTTGGACATTTATTAATTATCGGTTTTTTCGTAAACTTTTTTTTTTCAGTACGAACGAGCGGTCAACTTTTTCACCAATTATACCGGAAATCCAGCTTTGCCTTTTGCTGGAACCGAGCCCAGTACTAGTGCACCTGGTCAACAATATATGTCACAACATTGGTCAACAAGCCTGACACATGTGGATAAATCTGTCATTATCGAGACAGCTGTCGCTGCAATGAACGAACTTCTGGAGCTGTTACGTGTGAACGAGCCGCTGTGGTTCGAAGCTCCATCGGATCATGGGAGATATACTTTACGTCGAGATAGTTATGATATGATTTTCCCCAAGTCAAACCAGGTCAACACTTCAAGTGCTCGGTTTGAATCTTCGAAAGATTCGGGCGAGGTGGCAATGTCTGCCACACATTTAATCGAAATGCTTGTTGATGTGGTATGTATGTTACACATTGGAATTGTTTTTTTTTTTTTTAAGTGAAAATTTATTTGCTAATAATTTGCAGAACAAATGGAAGGAAATTTTTCCTACTATCGTCACAAAAGCGACGACCCTTGAAGCAATCGATACTGGAATATTTGGTGGTTTGTTACATTTGGGAAGGACCTCAAAAAATTCATATTATTATTATTATCATTATATTTTCGGGATATCTGAACGGATAAAAAATTGAATGTTTTGACTTATTTTGGTGCGCAGATGTATCAAAAAATGCACATTTTATCACCACTTGTTGCTCCCCGAGAATTTTTCTTCATTCGATATTCCCGCCAAATTAATTCGAGCACTTGGGTGTTGGTGGACGTGTCCTACGATTTCATAACACAGCTCCAAGATTCCGTTCGCACTCGTTCTTGGAGGTTTCCTTCAGGGTGTATTATTCAAGATATTTCAAATGGAAAATCAACAGTGAGTTCTCTATATAAAAACCCATTTGTTTCTTTTTAAGTGCATCTTTATCTCATATTATGTGTCGATTTAGAGTTTCGAGCCAGAACTCATGGGTGTTTTTAGCAATTCGATATAATACGGGGTGCCGAATGCAATTAACTCTATTCTTTTACGCTGTCTACATACTGAATATTATTTTTCTTGAATAGGTTACATGGATTGAACATGTACAAGTGGACGACAAGTTATCGACTCATCGTCTGTACAGAGACTTCGTTTGTGGTTCCCAAAGAATGGTGGTGAGTTTTTTCGAAGAACTGTGCATGTCGGATAAACTCGATTGTCCCAATCCGTCGGAATATCAAAATAGCGGAGTTTATGTCGCGCTCCGAAAAAGTAACGGACCTCATCAACCTGATGGATTCATTGTTAGCGCAGCTACCTCGCTTTGGCTTCCCTTTTCCAAGGAGCATCTCTTTAACTTCTTCCAAGACGAGAAAAGAAGAGCACAAGTACGAAAATACCGATTCTGCCGTCGGGTTTTGTGATCTCTACCGATGGCCGTGCTACTAGCAGAGGCACCAACGGAGCTTCAACCAGTTCCAACACCGGTAGCGGTGGCTCGCTTCTCACAGTTGCTTTCCGGATATTAATTTTTCACAGCCAATTGACAACGCAACTGAATATGGAGTCGGTTGCCACCGTGCATACCCTAATCAGCGCCACTGTTAAAAAGATCAAGGCGGCGCTTGATTATTATGATTAATTTCGGATTTTTTTATCTTCTCGAATATTGATTTGTTTTTTCATTAATTGATACTTGTTTCATTTTTTTTTATACCGTTAAAACAATTACTAATATTCAAAACCCTTAAATGAAAATCAAAACCAAACATACATTACAAATGTCATTTTTCATTCTTCAATGCCAAACACACAAACCCCCTCTCAAACCCATCTCCATCTCCCTCTTTACAAACCCCTCACCACCTCCTCCTCCTCCTCTTCTTCTTCTTCATCTTCTTCTTCTTCTTCTTCTTCCTCCTCCTACTAACAAACCCTGCTAAAAAAATCTCAAAACTAAAGAAATCAAAACCTTAAACAACATGCAAAATGGAGTCAAAAGACAATAAAATAGTAGTTTACGAGCAAGGAGAACCCATTAAGATATGTATCCATGTCTTTTTTGAGCTTAAAAGTCGATTTTGAAGATTTTTTTTAAATCCGCCATAGTTATTCGACACATGCAGGTCGGATTTTTGGTCAATTTTCAACATCAACTTGTCGAAAATTGTATTAAAAAAATGAAGTTCGACACATACATGTCGAATTTTTTTTTTAATGCAATTTTCGACAAGTTGGTGTTGAAAAATGATCAAAAATTTGATCTATATGTATCGAAAACTGTAGGCGAATTTAAAAAAAAAAAAACTAAAAAATCTAACCTGAAGCTCAAAGAAGACATTATTACATACTTTAATGGGTTCTCCTTCCATGTAAACCACCATTTTATTGTCTTGTTGTGACTTCATTTTATAAGTTTTGTGAGGTTTTTGATTTTTTTGAGTTTTGAGATTTTTTGGAGGGTTTGTAAGAAGATGAAGAAGAAGAGAGGGTTTGAGTTTGGGTTTGGGGGAGAAGAATATAATTTTTTCATTTTTTTAATTTTTGGTATTGAAATGAAAAAAAGCATTTTTTTTTTTAAATTGTATTTTGTTTAATGATGTATATTTTAATACTATGCTATTAACAGAAATTATTTATGGTATTGATTTCTTTATAAAGGACTAAAATACCTTCTCATATTTTAATATGTTCCAGTTTCATCCTTTAATTTACTTTAACATCAATTTAACCCCAAATTTCACAAAATATTCAATTAAACGGCGTGGACCATTTTTTTTTTTTTTTTTTTTTTTTTTTTTACTTTTCTCCTTATTTTTCCGCCGGTCTCCGGTGTTGACTTTTTCATTTTTTTTTTAAATTCTCCTGATTTTTCAGCCGATTTCCGGCGTTGATTTTTTCATTTTTTTTAAAACAAATTATTTTTTACTTTAACATCTTTTTGTCTCGTTCAAACATCAATATTGTTGTGGTTGACATGCATATTAACTATACATCTTAACACAGTAATATTGCTATGTTATTCTCTATCACAGTAATATTAACACAACAAAAATCACTCTTATTGTTTAATAGAGTAATATTAATATGTTGACCATTCAATAAGGACAAACATAATTAGAAAACCAAAAGAAGTAATATTAATGTGGTTAACAGTAATAATATTGTCATCCATAGTAATACTACTGTAACAACAATAATATTACCGCAACCACAGTAAAATTATTGTATTTACAGTAATACTACAATAGTAGACAATAATATTATTACGTTAATTGGTCAACAAATAAAACTAAACAACAAAGCAAAAAAATTAAATTGCTATAGTTGACAGTAATACCATTGTGTTTATAGTAATTTTACCGTCAACGACAGTAATATAATTACGTTGACTTATCAACAAATCAGAAAAAATAACAAAATGCAAAATAATAATAATAATAATAATAATAATAATAATAATAATAATAATAATAATAATAATAATAATAATAATAATAAGCAGTTTGCCCCCTAAATTAAGAGCCGTTTTGCACTTTACCCCCCAAACAAAAAAAATTAGCACATTTTTACCTAAACTCATTAATTCGTTGCACGGTGCCCCCTAAACTGAATTTTCCGTCAATTTTGGACGGAATGTTAAATTATATGCGTTGCACGTGCAGCAATTTACAGGGGTAAATTTGTCAATTTACTTAAATTCTATGCATTAATATAAAATCATCATAAAAAAGGAAAAAATCAAAACACCTGCCACATGCCTTTTTTATCTTTTTTTTTTTTTTTTTTTTTTTTTTTTTTTTTTTTTTTTAATTCTCCATTTTATTTCCTCTGTTCTATTTCTTCTTCTTTGCCGTTCATTTATCCTCCACAGCTGCCTCCAATTCCCACCACTTCCGCCGCCGCGATTTACCTGACCAACTCCAGCACAACAACTGAGAACGGAATTCAACAACAAGACCCACCCCCAAATCCCAGCCAATAATCCCAGACCACAACCCTAGCCCACAACCGCCCACCATCCCATTGTTAACCTACTCTGTTTTGTCGGCGACGCCGTGAAACTTGGGCTGACGAAGGAGCCCTTCAAAACTTCAGCGGCGAAATTTAAGAAGGAAGCACGTGCTAAGAACAAGATCAACATCAACAAGAATGGGGTAAAATTGCGGAGGCTGCGAGAATTGGTGATAGGGACACTTATGATTTTGATTTCTCTCACTAAGGAAGAATCGAGGACATTTATGATTTGACCGGAGAGAGAGAGTGGACATTGGAGGCTATATGGTGGAGGCGTAGTTGGGATCGGAGGAGAGATAATAGATAAGGGCGGCGAAGATGGAGGAGAAAGCGGCGGAGGAAAGGGAGGGACTAGGGAGCGTGTCGGGCGGTTGGTGTCGGCAAGGGTGGAGAGAGGATCTTCGCCGTCTTTATCGGTGGTGCAAGATCGAGCTTTGGAGTGCATAGGTAAATCGCGGGCGGTGGGTGGGCGAGGGAAGATGATGTTGCAGGTGGTTTTGTTTTTTTTTCTTTTTTTTCTTTATTTACTTTTTTTTTATGTTAATGATTTAATTAATATTTAATATATACAATGGAAGAGAATGTATGAATTTACCCCTGCAAATTTCACGTGCAATGCACGTGTTTGACTTTCCGTCCAAAATTGCCGGAAAATTCGGTTTAGGGGCAAACTGCAACAAATTAACGAGTTTAGGTAAAATTGTGCAAAACTTTTTTGTTTAGGGGGTAAAATGCAAAATGGCCATTAGTTTAGGGGGCAAACTGCTTTTTACTCTAATAATAATAATAATAATAATAATAATAATAATCTTATATATAAAAGAAAGAAACGCTAGGGCAACCCTAAGAAACCCTAATGTAATATTTGTAATTTTTTTTCAATTTGATAAAAATTTTTATCTCTTTAATATTATTTTAAATATTAGTTTTGAATTTTATCATATTTGTATCCCCTAAATATTATTTTAAATATTATTTTTTATTTTTATAAGATTTTTGTCTCCTAAATATTATTTTTTATTTTTATCAAATTTTTATCTCCTAAATATTATTATAAATAATATTTTTTTAATTTTATCAAATTTATATCTCCTAAGTCCTAACTATAATTTTAAATATAATTTTCAACTTTTAGCAGATTTTTATCTCCTAAATATTATTTTCGAATTTTATCAAATTTATATCTCCTAAATAATATTTTAAATATTTTTTTCGAGTTTTATCATGTTTTTATTAGTTTTTTATCTCCTAAATATTATTTTCGTTTTTTATCAGATTATTGTCTCCTAAATATTATTTTTGATTTTTATCAAATTTTTATCTCCTAAATATTATTTTAAATAATAATTTTGATTTTAATCATATTTTATCTCCTAACTATTATTCAAATTATTATTTTCATATTTTATCAACTTTTATCTCATTAACATTATTTGAAATATTATTTTCGATTTTTTATCAAATTTTTATCTCCTAACTATTATTTTAAATTTTATTTTTGATTTTTATCTCCTAAATATTATTTTTGGATTTTTTTATCAAATTTTTTCCTCCTAAATATTATTTTATATATTATTATCGATTTTCATCAAATTCTCCTAGATATCTTATATATAAAAGTAAGAAACGCTAGGGCAACCCTAAGAAACCCTAATGTCATATTTCTAATTTTTTTTCAATTTTTATCAAATTTTTATCTCCTTAAATATTATTTTAAATATTATTTTTGAATTTTATCATATTTGTATCCCCTAAATATTATTTTAAATATTATTTTTTATTTTTGTCAGATTTTTGTCTCCTAAATATTATTTTTTATTTTTATCAAATTTTTATCTCCTAAATATTATTATAAATAATATTTTTTTTAATTTTATCAAATTTATATCCCCTAAGTCCTAACTATAATTTTAAATATAATTTTCAACTTTTAGCAGATTTTTATCTCCTAAATATTATTTTCGAATTTTATCAAATTGATATCTCCTAAATAATATTTTAAATATTTTTTTCGAGTTTTATCATGTTTTTATTAGTTTTTTATCTCCTAAATATTATTTTCGTTTTTTATCAGATTATTGTCTGCTAAACTTTTAGTAGATTTTTATCTCCTAAATATTATTTTCGAATTTTATCAAATTTATATCTCCTAAATAATATTTTAAATATTTTTTTCGAGTTTTATCATGTTTTTATTAGTTTTTTGTCTCCTAAATATTATTTTCGTTTATTATCAGATTATTATCTCCTAAATATTATTTTCGATTTTTATCAAATTTTTATCTCCTAAATATTATTTTAAATTATAATTTTGATTTTAATCATATTTTATCTCCTAAATATTATTCTAATTATTATTTTCATATTTTATCAACTTTATCTCATTAACATTATTTGAAATATTATTTTCGATTTTTTATCAAATTTTTATCTCCTAACTATTATTTTAAATTTTATTTTTGATTTTTATCTCCTAAATATTATTTTTGGATTTTTTTATCAAATTTTTTCCTCCTAAATATTATTTTATATATTATTATCGATTTTCATCAAATTCTCCTAGATATCTTATATATAAAAGAAAGAAACGCTAGGGCAACCCTAAGAAACCCTAATGTCATATTTGTAATTTTTTTTTCAATTTTTATCAAATTTTTATCTCCTTAAATATTATTTTAAATATTATTTTTGAATTTTATCATATTTGTATCCCCTAAATATTATTTT